AAGGGTTCATGTGCACTTTAAGTAGAGGTTGTCTAAATGTGTTTTCTCTCTGCCTCAGTTTTCAGATCTTCTACTGTACACTTGTAAAGGAGTTACTGTGACAAATCAGTTCAGGGTTCAAGGACAGATTCCTCTTCACACTGTTAAGGTACAAAACCATTCATAAATTCGTTACTTCTCTTAGTAGCTGCTAGCTGTTTAAATATGTATTTGAATACTCCATGGCAAATCCAAGGGGATTCAGACCCCATGTCATACCTGAGCTTGAATTGATTGTTTAACCCTAAAATTTCGTTTCGCCACAGGTTTGAAATAAATCTTGTTGAAGCATACCTTTGGACCCCCTCAATATTTAGATTCCCCCTTGAAAATTTTATTATTTGAAATTTCTGGATCCACGCTTAACTTAACAGATCAAAAACGGTTTTCCATGTTTGATACTCTGATCAAAACACGCGGGATGTTGAGAGAACACGTGAGGAGCATAGGAAATCATGACGCATAGTGGAGTGGCTTCCAGCTTCTCAAGTGTTCTCCCAACATCTCAAATGTTTTGATCAGAGTATCAAACACAGAAAACTGTTTTTGATTTGTTTTATAAAATAACAGGTGCGCAAAAAGATGGAAGAAACCCAAAGCCTAAGTAAATTCTCCCTACATGCTGTCTTTTTCAAACTGACCAATGAGCGCGCGCGATAGATTAAAATCTGACAGTTGCAATATACGTGCGCTCTAAAATGACGATAGCATGTTTTGATACTCTCATCAAACATGGTTTTCGACCAATCATAGCGTGCGTAGTATCCCAATTATTTTATAAATTGCTATCAAAGGCAGAGCTATCACTTTGATAGATACTGTGAAATAAAATCTCATCGAAAGAACTCACCAACAAAGGATGTGTGTATTCGTATTTTTGTATAATTAGGTTGAGGATGTTGGCCCAGATCTGCATGGACTGTACCCATTTACCATAACCTACTCTAACAAACACATGGTGGTCGCTGCTCAGTCGGAAGAAGAAAAATACAAGTGGTTAGAGGTGAGTAGCAGTACAGTAATGTTTATTTCTGTGTAGCCATGGTTACTGTTGTATACTGACGTCAAATGATTTTTTATCCCCCAGGATCTTAATTCTGTCGTCAGGCATGCAAAAGAAATGGTATGTGGCTTTGTCTCCCATCCATCCATCTATCTATCCCATCCATTTACTTCCATCAGTCCCCTACCTTTATCCATCCATCTTCTCTTCTATACACATAAATTTGTCCCCTTCCTTCATCCATTCCTCCATCCATCCATTCCTTTGCATCCATTCATCCATCAAACCTACCACCTACCCTCCCATCCCTGCATCTATCCAACTTGCATCCATCCACCCGCCATTTCACTTAACTATCCATTCATCCAACTCCCACACCAAGATAATACATGTTATGCAAATATATTCTATCAATCCATCTTGCACCATCAACCATCATCCATCCTTCTATCCATCCATTCATCCATCCATCCACCCATCCATCCATCCGTCCATCCATCCATCCATCTATTTATTCATTCATTCATCTATCCCTAAGATAATGCTTGTTACAGTGTGTTTTTGTGTATTGACAGGCTACCTGCAGTCAGTGTATGTATAACAGAGCACACCACATGTTCAAATCACCAGATGGAAGGAACACTAAGTACTTCTGTGAGGAATGCTATATCCTGGTCGATGAAGATGGTATGAACAACAAAGTATTTTTTCTTTCAAATATTTTTATTCCCATTATTTTTTACCTTTCAAAAAATTTATAGTTCACATTAATTTTTCTCTTTCAAAAGTTTATAATTAATAATATTTTTTTCCTTTCAAATCATAATTCACTACAAGTTCATCCCAAAACTCACCTGATTTTATCCCGCTTCTTCACTTGACCAAATTTTATTCATTCATTCATTTTTTTATTTTCTTTCCTAGAACCTATCATGGATGTCCTAAGTGGACAGACTGGTACTTATCTTGAACGTAGGTTTCTTTTACCGCTTTTACCGCTTTTTAACTCGTGGATACGCGAGGCGTAGAAACGAGTTATTGTGAGGGGTCTGAATATGCAAATGTGTCACTCACTAAGATGTTAGCAGGTCGATAATTAAGCGTTTATCGATCGTCTTACGTCATCTGATTACGAACGTTACACGACACTAACAAGCCACAAACGTTTCATTAGATTTCAAAACGAGAGTCATGGAGTCTTGAAGAAAGTTTGGCTATTTTTGTCATCCAAATAAGCCGTTCTGAATAAAACGTAGATGACCCAAACTCAACAAAATAACAAAGAACTAAACAAAGTAGGTGTTAAAAGGAAACGACTAATCATCTTACCAGCTAAACTGAGTATTTAAGATATGAAATCGAGCGACTTTGAAAGCTTCGAAATGTCAACAAGCATAAGTACACGGGGAGCCCAATCTCTGGAAAATGCAACTAGCATCCACGAGTTCGCCAAAGGGCGGTTTGATTTAATGTTTTTACCATTTAAAGGCAACATTTCATTCCCTTGAACATTATTTTTCCCTTACTGGAAATTCTAAGAGTTATGTCCATTAATAGTTATTGATAATAATTTCCCATTAATCCGTCAGATAATAAAAACCTTTACAATGGAGATAACCAAAATGGCGATAATCGATATAAAATACTTCCCCTCCCCACCCCTGTGACAATACATCGAAGCAGCTCTGGTGATGATGGCTCAGATGATGAGGCTACATCCACAAGTCCTGTGTCGAGTCTGGATAGACGACATGCTCACTCCAATACCATGTCTACCCGTCGTGTGTGTTGGCACAGGAATACTAGTATTAGTATGAGTGAACACGCTCTCTCTGTACGGGTAAGTCAACCATAAGACTAGCACTACCCTCACTCCAATACCATGTCTACCCGTCGTTTGTGTTGGCATGGGAACACTAGTATTAGTATGAGTGAACACGCTCTCTCTGTACGGGTAAGTCAACCATAAGACCAACACTACCCTCACTTGCATTTTTTCTTTCACCAGAATCACATGAGCGGGGATCTTCTTCGCAAGTTCAAGACCGGGAATCGTTGGCAGAAATTATGGGTTGTTTTTACCAATTTCTGTCTGTTTTTCTACAAGACACACCAGGTATTCACGTGATTGTTGCCATGGCAGTAGCTTTATTTAGCTCGTTTTAATTAGTTTCTCTTTTTTTTTCAGGACGATTTTCCTCTAGCGAGTCTGCCTCTCATTGGGTATTTAGTCGACCTTCCTGCACCAGTAAGTATTCATAAAATGCAATTCGCGTGTGGGATACCTGTGGTGATGTGACTGATTGGTTCCCACTGGACCAATCGCAAAGCGTAATATTCGTAAGAGCCCAACCAATCATGTTGCTCGACAACGTGGTGATGTCACGCGCCAAGTCTTACAAACATGCCGGCTGTGACGTCACATGCAAGCTAAGAGTTTTTATCGGATTTCAGTCATTCAAACCTATGGATTTTTCTCTCCCAGGCCGACCAGATAGACAAGGGCTTGGTCTTCAAACTTCAATATAAGAGTCACGTGTACTTCTTCAGAGCGGACAACGAATACTCATTCCACAGGTATATTAGGCTCATGTCAAACTTCGAGCTTCAAATGAACCGAACCTAATGACATCAAAGAAGACCGCCTTGTGATTCATTGTGTCAATTAGGTTCGGCTCATGTGAAGTTTGACGTTTGACCTGAGCGTAAGAGCTCCGTTAGAGCGCTTTTGACGCTTATAATCTTACCCAGACCCGGGAATGTCATGGAGGTACATGTGTACATATTTCCACAACAAAATGTAATCTGTTTATTTCTTTTCTGGCTGCTATACCCATTTTCACAGTTACATGATCCAGACAACCAGTTATAATTCGAGTCAACTGGGTTTTTGGCTTTCGTCGATCAAATTTCCAATCTTTTTTTTTTTTTTTTTGATCGACGGAAGCCAAAAACCCCAGACGTCTTGCGCTGTGTTGGTCACGTAATTATCCAACTGGGTGTAAAATGTCACCCCACTCTCTTGCGCACAAGGTTGCCACTTACAATATCAAGACTACATTAACACCTGGTTATCTCGTTGTAGATGGATGGAAGTGATCTCCAGCGCGACTCAGAGCTCGACAAGATCGCGAATCTTCAGCCGCATGGAGAGCAATGATCCTTAATTCGATGGAATTATTGTACATTGAGCAGCGAGAGCCGCTCCATAAATTTTATAATCGCCTTGAATATTGCAAAGTACTCCAAAATGTATAGAATTTTCTAAGTTTTCTGGTGGAATGCCTAGCGAATCTAGAGTAGTTATGCGAAGAAATAACGTATTTTTCCCTTTCAATATAATAGGGATCACAATTTGATTACTCGGGCCCCTTGTTTAGATAGCCCGAATGCATTGAAATGTTTTAGTGCTGTTTATGCAAGGGAGCCCGAGTGAACGTCATTGACGTAAGACCGATCTTGTTCAGGAAGCGCTTTGCGCGCACCGTTTAATTAATTTCCCATAATTGCAATAATCAATAATGTATTTGTAAAAAAAGTATAGAATATAAGGGCTTCGTTTAGTCAATAACGTGGAAAAAAGATTTCGGAATTATGTAGAAGAAAACCAATCAAATGATGCTATTTCATTTTAAAAAGAATTTATGTCTTTATATGACACAGTACGTAATGGGGTAATATTACGCTAATAAGGCTCAGCTTGCACCGCGATACAAATTCTGTTACTAGAACAGCTAAACATTATCTTTCCCAGATCTCGCCTTGGTCTCCGCCAAGAAGCGCGGAAGGGCCTGGTTGAACCCGAGAACCCAAACCATGAACAAGGTTTCCGGTTCCGATTTCATTGATTTGGCGCCTATTGGTTACTGTATTAGCCAATCAGGAAAAAGTGTCAGCTGTTTTCGCCCAAAGGCCTTTTTTTCTTGGTAGAGACAAAAATAGGCCTTTTCCGAATTGAATTAACTACTTCATTGTGGTCTAACTTGGATACAAACTTAAGTATGATGAATGAAAGTTGCCTTGTACTCAAGCTAGACCTCAATGCAACATGATCGCTATCGCAGGAAAGGTCTATGAATGCGGGCTCTGTGAGAATGAGATTAATTTACCAGGGTCAGTACATGCAGTACATGTTTATGCCGTATTAAAACCAGAATCTCCAGAGAGATTTCTTCGGCCAGATGTTGAGTAAAACCTTTTAAATGATTCTGTGAACAATCGTGACTTTTTCGAGTTATCGTTAGGAAGTCGTAACATGGTCGGATAATGCTCGTCACTCTATCGTGAAATTTCAATTCAAACAGTGGCATTCGATGTAGTTATTTTACTGAATATACTGGCATTCTACCCTGAAATTCAGGCATTTTTAACAAATTAAAGTTTAACTGGAATGACCTCATTTAACTGGGAATTTATTTAGTTTCAACTCAGTTGAGTCAGTAAGTCAGTACCGAAGGAAGGAAGGAAGGAAGCTTCTTTATTTTGCCACGGTAAAAACATCAGTCGATTGCCTAAAAATATTTAAAAGTAAAGATTTACGATTAAAAAGCTAGTTACTGTTTTACATGTTTGCCGTGGAGCCCTTAGTTACAACTTTTCTTACTGTACAAACTATCAATTTCCTTTTTAAATTTTCGTACTGA